TCCAAATTGTCTTAAGTAATTTAAAGAAATTCCAAATTGTCTTAAGTAATTTAAAGAAATTCCAAATTGTCTTAAGTAATTTAAAGAAATTCCAAATTGTCTTAAGTAATTTAAAGGGACCCCTCAATCTGCCCTTACGTAACTACCAATCGGGTACCGTGATTATGAGGGGAACTGTTCCAGAATACAAACCTTTGGAGAGCCTGCTCCATTTCTTTCTTGTTCTTCTCCAAGTCAGCCACAGCTTCCTGTGCAAGTTTGAGGTCACCTTCCACCTTCCTCTTGTTCTTCTCCACATCCCCCCTGAGCTTCTTCTCCCTCTCCAGGTTGTCTTCAAGCTAGGGAAGTAACCATGTCAGGAATAAATTATGAACTAAAGTACCAAACACAGAAACTTCTGTAGTTAACGAAAACCAAGACGAAATAAGTAGTGAAAAGTTCTGTACCTCATCAAGGGTCTGTTCGAGTTTAGTCTTGACTTTGTTGAGGTGATTCACTTTGTCCTCTGAACCCTGCAGATCTTCCGCTGTTTTCTAAAATCGAAGAAGCTTGGTTAATTAACGCAAGTGAAGAAGGTAAATAAGTGAGTTATTTAATAAGTTATCCAAGACGGTAAATAAGTGAGTTATTTAATAAGTGTTGTTAACCTACCTGGTTAACTTCCTGTAAATGTTTCTTTTCCTTATTTAGTTTATTAATTAGTTCATCCTGGTGAGCGATTTCGTCATTCAGGTTTCGGATTTGGTGGTCTTTGGTCGCCTTGTCTTGTTCAGCCTAGAGACCAGAATCATAGTGTGAAAAGGTATCACTGATACTTTGTTGTCACGTGACTAAGTGGGTTTAATGAAACTTCAGGTTTGAGTTATTTATTTACAGAAATAAACAAGAAGTTAAACATCAGATGGAAACAGTAGGCTTAACTCACTTTCTGCAGAGCGAGTTGTAGGTCTTCAATTTCTTTCTTCAGAGAAGAAACATCTCCCTCAAGTTTCTTCTTGTTTTGGTTCAGCTGGGATGATGTATTTTCTTGTTCTGCGAGCCGTTCATTCAGCTCCTGTAAGTTAAGGAGGTCTTTAGTTGAGTTTTTTTTGTTCTCGACATTTTAAAAGATTCAGATTTTCTTGGTTTATAACTCTCTACATCACCACAATAAACACGAAAACAATTAAATGTCACGGATTAAAAGTAGAATACCAGGAACATTGAATTAAGTAGTCGACGTTGGGATAGGGCATTAATCCTTCCTAAACTTACATTAACATAAGACGACAACCAATGGTAAAACTGTTTTTACCATATAAATCCAATTAATTTTCCAGCCCTTCAATTCTGTATATACATCAGCTACATTTCAGGCATTTACTTTGTTTCTAATGAACCTACTTATCAATCAAGTTCATACAATCAAACAGCATATCTGAGTAATAAAGATGCAATTGATAATTTATCTGCAGTGTATAAAACATCTCCACATCATATCATTAGTGTATATTTTAAAGTCATCATTTTCAAGATGGATTTTATTATTTTCCATTTGAAATATGCAAATTAATGTTATAAAATAATATATCTACAGTTTATTTTATAAATACATGTACTTTAATCACAATATAAAAATTACAGAAGCGGCGTTTCGGTCAGCTCTGGCTCCACTACACCCCTGATGACCACTTCCCCCCCCCACCCGCCGTAATTGCAGAATGTTTCCTACTTTTCTTCCCTGGTCAGTGTGGGGGTCAGATAAACTCCGACAAATCAATAAGTTTATTTCAGTTGGATAAACCGTTTCTAGAAATATTAATCCAGTAAGTAAAAATTGGATGTAAAGATTGGTGTGACTTTTTGACGGAGTGTACTCCATTTCAGTAATCAGTATAGACAGATGTGGTTTCTCTTGAATACATTCCTGAGAGATATTACAATAAGTTCTTCACCGTATGCTTTAAGCCTGAGAGCAGT